GAACTCTGATTTCAGTAAACTTGAACTCAAATTGATCGGCTCGACAAGATAACCTCAACGATGCCAAAATTGGTCTAATCCAAGTCAAATTAAAACCATATCAAGGCATTAAACTATTTTCGGGAGTTTTCCATGAAATAATTGGAAGGTTTACATATTCTAAATCTTGTGTAGTTCTGTGGTTGATTATACAGATGAATATTTGTAAGGAGAAGCCAGGGATTGGTTGGGTTTCAAAAATGGAGGAGTGGAGGAATAGAGTCAGCATTGGGACTTGTGGAGTGCATGGAAAGGCGGGGAGGAGGACCAGCTAGCAGGGTGTACGAGGAGATATAGACTATTTGCTGAGAGAAACAACATGGGGCTTGGATTAGAATAAAAGGGATTTTGGGAGGGATTGTGTGCTGCTTGTCAGTGGTGTGCGGTATGGTTAAGTGATTAAGAAACTATGGGATTTAATAGGTAGCACACGATTTTTTATATTTACATATCTCACACCCAAAATTTTCATACTTAAACAGAAAAATATTATTTTTTATGTGAGATTAAAAATTTGAGTGTCATGTGTGTAAAAATGAAAGTTTTAAGTGTGAGATTTATAAATACATGAAAATTATGTGTTATGTATGTGAAAGGCCCTTAATATAAATTCCCCAAGGCCGTTCGGCTGTATAGGTGGATTAGTTGGCCGGACAGGATTTCTACGTCGCCCCTCGCGATCCTCGTACTCGGAGAAAATTAGAAAATTTGTTGGTTAAACGCTTTGCAAAAGAATTCTGGGTGCCACGCATGGCCAGCTGTAGTTCGAATGCTTGCATTTATTATGACTGGTTGAATGTATCAACATACAATAATAATAATGATATTTTCAATATATTATTAAAAATTTAAGTGCTATTGGCTCATCAATAAATTTCTATCATATGATAAGAATTTCTGGGCATGACATGTAGCTGAGTCACATCATTTAACAAGATACATTCAAATTTTAATTAAAATACATCCAGAACTCTGATTTCAGTAAACTTGAACTCAAATTGACAGGCTCGACAAGACAACCTCAACTATGCCAAAATTGATCTAATCCAAGTCAAATTAAATCCATATCATGGCATTAAACTATTTCCAGGAGTTTTTCATGAAATAATTGGAAGGTTTACATATTCTAAATCTCTCATTGTCATGCATATAGTCAAATCAAGCATTTCAATGAGACGAATCTAACGAGACTAAGATTGTTCAATTCTAACTTCATTAAGACACTTAAATTTTCATTAAATGTCATCAAATCAAGGGAATCTTTCTGAGTCGTCCGATAAGATTTGTTTAAATTCCTTCCTCATTTGTAACATGAACTGCACCCCTCTTAAAAGGAGGGAGAACCAAAGCTAACAAAGCTGAAGCTTGGAAATAAATTGAGTCTAACATCACACATACATTGTAGATATGATGAGTTCCTCCCATTTCCAGCAACTGCCGTCACCAACTCCATCAAAATTTGTTTCTCAACTTTGGTTGTCATCATCACAGGCTAACTCCAGCTAATGTTTCTCTTAAAATTTAAATTATTTTTCAATTAAATTTCCTTTTTATTTATTTTTTTATTCTTAATATTTTATTTATTTAATATTTACATGTTACATATGATACCGTGTGATATCCGTATCTCAGTATCCATATTCATACAAGATAAAATATTCAAATGCATAGCAAATTGATTCAAAAATAAAATAAAGAATATTACTAAAAAAGAAAAACAAAAGCATTTATCTCTTTATTTTGAAAACCAGAATATCATGGGATAAAAATTTCCCATTATTAAGTAAAAATATTTGCTCCCATATGCTTTAGAAAAACAAAACAATAAAAAAATCAACCATAAATATTACTATTAAAAAGTCATCGAGATTTATGTGTTCTCGATCACAGAGCATATACAATGTATCTCAGAATGAAAACTTTTGTCCCTCTTCTAGAGGTCATCGTCGGTGATCTCCATCCGATCAATCTTCTCATCCAATCTCTTGCCTAAAATCCAACTTACAATATATGTTTGCCGCAGTGCACACTAAGACCAAAAAAATCATAATTAATGAAATCAAGTAAGCAAGAAAACTTCGGGAAAAAAATTGGTCTTTTTTCGTTAATGATGAGCAGAGTTCTGATTTTTCTTGTTAGTTTTAATTTATTGGACGAGCATGATTCACTCTTCAATCTCATTGTAGAAAATTTTGTTGGTTTGTTCATCCATATTAAAAAAACAAAGGGCAAGATTAAGTAATAGGTGGGATGCGCCTCAAAACAACAGTTAAGTTTTTTATTGTAGTGTTGGATAATGTGGAGACCCGGTCCATCGCAATTTAATTAGCTTCTTAATTAAAAATCTCACATACCGCTCACCTACCACACCCACTTACCGCCCACCTACCTCCCACCTACTGCTTTCCTGATTTCTATAAATAGTCTCTTATGGCTTGTCATAACCAAGCTACAAGTCAAGTCAAGCCAAGCAAGGGCCAAGCCAAAGGAAAATAGAGAGAGAGAGAGGAAGGGAGAGAAGAAAATATAGATTTTCTTGTAAACGTCGAGGCGTTCGACAGTATAATTCCTCAAAGAAATAAAATCCTCTGCAACTCCATGGACGTAGGCAAATTTGTTGAACCACATAAATTCATGTGTCGCTCTGGTGTTTTTCTGCGTGCAATATTCTCGTTACATTTTTCGTTTTACTATCGTCGTTTTTCACAACAACTGGTATCAGAGCTTTGGTTCGAATATAAGGAAGAATGATGGGCAGAGACGAAGTGATGACATCCGGGATCAAGAAGTTCAATGACACAGATTTTGCTTACTGGAGGATGCATATAGAGGACTACCTCTATGGGAAGAAACTTCATATTCCGTTACTGGGAAAACGATCGAAAAAGATGGACGATGCATAATGGAATCTGTTGGATCGACAAGTTCTGGGAGTTATTCGATTAACTCTATCGAGATCGGTTGCCTACAACGTCATCAAGGGGAGGACTACTGCAGACTCATGGCGATTTTATCAGGTATGTATGAAAAGTCATCGACGAATAACAAGGTGCATTTGATTAAAAAGTTATTCAACTTGAAGATGACAAAAAGTGTCACTGTTGCTCAACACTTGAATGATTTCAATACTCTCACAAATCAATTGTCGTCTGTTGAAATTAATGTTAATAATGAGATACATGCCCTGATATTGTTGGCTTAATTGTCAAATAATTGAAAAGCCATGAGGATGACAGTTAAATGAGGATGACAGTTAACATTTCTGCGGGTAAATCTAAGATGAAATATGATGATATTCGTGATTTGATTTTGGCTTAGAAGGTACCCAAGAAGGATTCTGGCGAGGCCTCGTATTCAAGTTCGGCGTTGAATGTTCATTTTAGAGGGAGATCATATGACAAGAACTCAAAAAGAGAAAGATCGAAATCAAAGTTTGGTCAACAGACAACCTGTTGGAATTGTGGCAAGGCTGGCCGCATAAAAAGAAACTGCAGGAATCCTAACAAGAAGGAGAATGATGTCGCTAATGTTGTAACTGAAGAAATACAAGATGAATGATGAATTATTGATGACAGCTCATAGTTCTATTGATGAATGGATACTTGATTCATGGGCTTCCTTCCATACATCTTCCCGCCCGGAGTTAATGCGAAATTATGTTGCAGGTAACTTTGAGAAGGTATATCTGGCTGATGGAAAAGCTATGGACGTGGTGGGGATTGGAGATGTTGATATTGCACTCCCTAACAAGAGCAAGTGGACTTTGCAAAAGGTTAGACACGTTCCTGAGTTGAAGAAAAACTCCATCTCTGTTGGGCAGCTCAAAGAGGGTGGTCATTCGGTCGTGTTCTCAGATAGCACCTTGAAGGTTACTAAAGGAGCATTAGTAATGGCTCGGGGCAAGAAAACTGACACACTATATATGACTACATGTTTACTCAGGCGAGGACACATGAGTCAGAGGTGCATTATGGGGAAGCAGAAGAATGTCAGTTTCCTGAAAAGTGGCATAGTGTCAAATGCAAGAAAACTGAACTTTGTACAGACAAATAGAGGAGAACCACAGAGCTCTGAAAAAAATTTGCAAGATGAGAATTTGAGCAAGTGAGAGCTGCCCAAGAAAGAGGAGATGAATTCCCTGCTACGGAATCAGACTTGGGAGTTGACAGAACTTCCACCAAGGAAGAAGACATTGAACAACAAGTGAGTGTATCGAATGAAGACTGCGCTTGGTGATAGTAAGGAATATAAGATTGGACTTGTTGAAAAAGACTTTCAGTAAGCGCAGAATATTGCTCATGCAGTGGAAGTTGTAAGCAGATACATGAGTAACCTAGGAAAGAGCTTGGTGGTACAAGGCTACTTTGACGGTGATATGTTAACTAAGAGTGTTCTCATGAGAAGCTGAAGTTGTGTTTGACTTCAGCTGGCCTTCTGGCATGAAGACAGGGGCTTTGAGTTGCAGATGTGAAGGATATCATGTTTGAGGAAAATGTCGGTACATCTAGTAGATGATGCAGCCGGTTGGTGATGCAGTCAGTATCCCAATCTCCAAGTGGGAGAATTGTTGGGTAATGTGGAGATTCGGTCCACCACAATTTAATTAACTTCCTAATTAAGAATCTCACCTACCGCTCATCTATCTTCCCATGTACCGCCCACCTACCGCTCACTTACATCCCACCTACCGCTTTCCTGATTTCTATAAATAGCATCTTATGGCTTGCCATAACTAAGCTACAAGTCAAGCTAAGCCAAGTCCTTTAAGAGAGAGAGGAAGAGAGAGAGAGAGAGAGAGGAAGGGAGAGAAGAAAATAGAGATTTTCTTGTAAACGTTGAGGCGCTCGACGGTGTAATTCCTCAAAGAAATAAAATCCTCTGTAGCTCCATAGACGTAGGCAAATTTGCCGAACTACGTAAATTCATGTGACGCTCTGGTGTTTTTCTGCGTGCAATTTTCTTGTTTCATTTTTCGTTTGACTATCATCGTTTTTCACAACACATAGGTGATTAAGTGAAGAGCAATGTATGGGAGAGGAGGAGGAAGATGGCATGAATTTGCGCAGTCGAAGAATATCAGTTTCGGGCTTCTTGCATGAATGGGGGGATCATATTTAGGGGTTAAGGGGATGAGTATATATATGCCCCAACTCGGAGCTCATTTCGTCGTAGCTTGTATGATTAATTATGAATCGATAATTAGTGCGGCCCACAGGAGCCAATATTTGCCATATTTTTGTCGAGGATAAAATAGCTTTTTAGTGTCAAATTTATGGACGCCAAGTATTTCTTTTTTGAGATTTAAACACATACACCATCCAACTCAAATCTAAAAATCATTTGTTCGAACATGATCGACGCAAGATATTTAAATTTATATAAGAGTATATTGTATATTTATATTTATATTTAAGTTTCAATTAAAATATTTCATGTGGTCATGTGACCACGCGTCTTCAATCACCATAGAAATAGTGCATATTTAAATTTAACACCCTATATTTATTTTTGTAATTAATTTAAAAGAATCAATTTCTAGCGGAACACAATAAAAAATATGTAAATCAAGAGAAATTGTTACATCCGGATGAGCTTTATTCGAATTATGTAAGGATGGTAATACCAAAAATATTACCATATCAAGACATTAAACTATTTTTAGTAGCTTTCCCTGAAATAATTCAAAGGTTAACATATTCTAAATCTCTCGTTGTTATGTATATAGTCAAATAAAGCATTTCAGTGAGACGAATTCAACAAGCCTAAGATTGTTCAATTCTTACATTATTAAGAAACTTAAATGTTCATCAAATGTCATCTAATCAAGAAAATCTCTTTGGGTCGTCCGGTCATATTGATTTGAACTCCTTCCACATTTGTAACCTGGAATACACTCCTCTTAAAAGGAGGGGGATCCGGAGCTAGAAAAAGGCTGAAGCTAGGAAAAGAAATTGAGTCCAACATCACATATACATTGTAGATACGGCGAGTTCCTGAGTTCCTCCCACTCTGGCAACTGCCACCGCCAACTAAAATCAACGTTGCTCTTAGTTTTTAAAATTTTAGTCAATTAAATTTCTTTTTTTAATATTTTATTTATTTAATATATTCATGTAACATATATGTATGGTGTCATATTCGTATCTTAGTATTCATATTCATACAATATAAAATCTTCAAATTTATAGCAAATTCATTTGAAAATAAAATAAATAATATTACTAAAAAAGAAAAATAAATGTATTCCCTTTTTTTGCTTGACAATCCACAATACCGCGGGACAAATAATTCCTCTTATTAAGCAAAAATATTTACCTTTGAATGCTTTATAAAAACTACTAAATATAAAAACCAATCATAAATATTACAATAAAAAATAATCTAGATTTATAAGATCTCGGTCGCATAGCATATCAACGTCTCTCGGAATAAAAACTCCTGTCCCACTTCTCACGGTTGTCGACGACGATCTCCATCCAATCAATGTTCTAGCCCAACACTTTCCCAATGCGCTCTTCCCCTAAAACATAACTTTTAATATATGTTTGCAATGAGTGAGCCCTAAGATTAAACAATCCATAATTAATGGAATCAAGCAACAAAACTTCAGAAACAAAAATTAGTCTTTTTCTCGCGACAAGTTACCTCCACCTTTATGTGGTGATGGTTGGAAAGAGCTGATGACTGTCGTTTCCTTCGACAGCTTTTCTCCAACCTCGCTACCTGCAGCAATCAGGTCTTGTTGGCCCTCAACAATCACGCTCGTGCTAGGCCCATTAGACAGGGTTTTCTGGTGAGGCTTTTTCGGCGTCTGCCCCTCAGGACTCTCAAATGAGACGACTTGATCAGCCGACTCAAGTTTGGTCTCAATCGTTTCTCCTTCTTTACAACCTTTTTCTTCTTTACAGTTGCCATAGAGGTAGGGACCCAAAATCCTGTCATAGCTAGGAGTTGGGCGTCCATATCGTCCTGGTTCGTACCGTCAGCCATGTTGTCCATCAGTCGTCTGGGAAGAGTTGGCAGCAAATGATCTAATGCCA